TTTGGGTTTGAATTTTGACTTTGCCACTTGAAGTTATATAAAGCAGGAACCTTAATTAGCCTATTTGCCTCTAAAATAAGTTTTTTTTTTTTGTAAGAATAAAACATGTCCAATGTTAAGACTAGTACCTGGACAATGTAATGACTCAAAACATGTTAATTATTATTATTACTAGAGGCCCGGTGTACGAATTCATGCACTGGGGTTGGGGGTGTGTAAGGATGTCCCTCAGCCCAGCCCGCACGCTCTCCAACCTGGGATCTTTCAAGGAATGTCCAACTGCTGACAGTTGGACATCCCCCTCACAATCCACTCGCCTGCCTGCCAGCCTGATCACCCCTAACCACTCCCCTGTGAGCCTGATCACCCCTAACCACTCCCCTGTGAGCCTAACTGCTCCCCTCCTGGCTCAATTGCCTCCAACTGCCTTTCCCTGTTGGCGCAGTCACCCCCAAATGCCGTTCCCTGTGTGCCTGGTTGCCCCCAACTGCCCTCCTTTGCTAGCCTGGTTACCCCTAACTGCCCTCACTTGCTGGCCTGATTGCCCACAATTGTCCTCCTCTGATGGCCATCTTGTGATCACATGGGGGTGGCCATCTTGTGCAAGGGCATGATGGTCAATTTGCATATTACTTCTTTATTATATAGGATAGGGAAGAAAAGCTGCCACATAAATATATATCCTTTCTGTAAATTTGTTTTTATTCTTATTTTTTTTTAAAGGGAGGTAAATTTTGTGTGTGTATGTAAGTTTTCAGCAGCTTTACCCTAAGAGTATATACCAAGGAGCATAATGGCTGGATTATATGGCGAGAGTATGTTTAGTTTTGTAAGAAACCACCAAACTGATTTCCAAAGTGGCCTTAACATTTTGAATTCCCACCAGTGATGTCTGAGAGTTCCTGTAGCTCCACGTCCCCACAGCATTTGGAGTTGTCCATGTTTTGGCGATGGTAATAGAGGTGTATCACTGCTCTAACTGGCATTTCCCTGATAACATACCATGTGGAGCAACTTTTCACCATCCGCATTTCTTCCTTGGTGACGTGTCTGGGACTTTCTTTGGCCCACTTTTGGGTTGTTTTCTTACTGTTGAGTTTTAAACATTCTTTGCTTTGGATGTCAGTCCTTGATCAGATGTGTCCTTGGCAAACATGTTCTGTCAGCCTTCTCATTCCTTTGACATTGTCTTGCCACTCTGGCAGTCCTGACCTTCGAACTGCATGCCAATAATGCTTTCTCCTCCAGTTCGTGTTGTTCTATGTGGATCGGGGAGAAGCTGTATAAACGTAGATCTCACCCATCCAATTTTCTTCTTTCAAGGACCAAATGCCCAACATTTTCTGTTTTCTAGTAGTTTAAAAATTATTTTGTCCCAGATTTTTTAATAGTTAATTCTCTGCAGGAGAATTAATCCTATATAAGGTCTCCCATCATTAGCATTACTGGTACATGACAGAGATGTGTGTGTTAAGCATAAACTACAGATTTCATCTTTATGAATACTCATAGTGTCGTTGAATAATATTGCCTGCAGGGATCTTTGGGTGTTCCTCAGCTACTCTGTCCTATCAGACAATGACTGCCTAAATCTTAACATGATGGATTTCCTGTGATTTCATCTCCAGTGAGGAAAGACTCCTTTCTAGGAAATTGGCTCTCTGTCTGGAGGCTCCCAACTTTATATTTCAATTTACATTCATAGGATGGTTTTAAGTGACTCCCAGGGTCACGGAGTTTCACAGACAGAAGGATATACAGGCGTTACTGAAGCCACGTCTCTCTCACAGGATCACGGGTGTGAAAATGGTGTCCTTTCTCATGCCGTGTGTGTTATCTGCCGTTTTCTTTGCTCTGCTTCTACCCTCCGCTCCCATGAGCTCATCATTTCTGGTCTGTTTTATTGAGATTCTCTCCCCTTGTTCTATCTCCTGGCATCTGTGCATCTGCTTCTGACAACCTGGTGTCAGAATCATTCTGATTACTGTGACCTTTAATGTTAGGAGTTGAATGCTCCCTCCCACCCTCAACCCACCCTCCCAGCGTGCTGCATGCTCTCCCCCCTCCCCCCTGCTCAATTCATACTGAAGTCCTAACCTCTCAAAATGAGACTACTGGGAGATAGGGGCTTTACAGGGTTAATTAATTAAACAAGACCTTTAAGGTGGGCCCTAATCCAAGATACCAGGTACTATTATAAAAAGGGGAAATGGACACAGAGACATGCTTAGAGGGAAGGTAATGAGAAGAGACACAGGAAGGAGGTGTCCACCTGCAGAACTTGTCAATAGGCTTGGACACGTCCTTCTCTCAGAGGAAACCAATCTTGGACGTCCAGCCTCCAGAACCACGGGATTATACACTTTTGTTGCTTAAGGCCCTCAAAGTACAAAGTCTGTTGTACTTTGTGCCTTAGCAGCCCCAGCAAAATAATACACTTACCACTTAACAAATAGTCTGACCCAGTTTTTCTACTTGATTCTGACTCATGGCTTTACTTTGTCTCCTAAGATCCACAGACTCCTCAGTATGGTTAATGGGCAAAAAAGCAAAATATCCAAAAATGTGGGACCTATTATTTTTTCTTCTTAAATTGAATGGCTTTTCTGAGCCTTCTCAACCAAGCATGTCAAACTCAAAGGCTAACACGGGCCAAATAAACAAGCGGTAAGTTTATGTGGGTCACTAAAAAACAAAAGCTTCAATTTTCAATGTAAATTTTGATAGAGACATGCTGAATAAAAAGGGCTGAAATAAATGAGTCATCATTAACATAAAATAATAGGACATTTTAATAAAAATTAATATTTTTTCTTGAACATTAACTTACCAGACACTGAATAACTTCACAAATCAATAATCATAACACAAATAAATCTATTTTTTTTCTCTGAAAGTGAAATATTTCCTGTTGCGCACACCAAACAAGTTAGTTCAAGACTAATGATGTGGCCATCGGCTGCTGAAATATTCGCTGCCAGTATTAGTGGAGAGAAATGGTGCACCTGAGTGCAAGGCACGTAAGGGAAATGAATGCAACATGATTATAGTAATCAGTCATTAGTGAACGTTGTAGTTCATTATTAATAATTATGTATAAATAACAGGATACTGTAAAACATTAAGTTACGAAATTGTTTTCACATACCATTATATCGTGGGCTGCATGTGGCCTGTGGGCCGAGAGTTTGACATGCTTGTTCTAGACAAAGTAAGGATATTGTCCCTGCCACCTAAATAAAGCGCAGACAAGGTACCGACAGGGACTGTAACATGCTGAGCCTTCGATCATACACGCTGCTCTTCTGGCCTAATTCCTACAGAACTCCAGGGGGCGAGCTCCTCCAGGGGCCCAAGGTCAGAGTCCTCCCCTTTTACCAGGATCCTGCAACCCCCGCTTAGTTCTGCTCCTCCTAGTTCACGAGGCGATGAGGCGGATGGCTAAGCACCTGCTTTGCTTGAGGAGAGAGGAATGTGGGGTGATGCTCCCAGCGTTCCTGTTCTCAGATCGCCAGAGATAACAGAATTTAACAGGACAGCCCAGACAACCAATTCCCTGAGAGAACAGAATTTTTTAGAAATGCATAAAAGAAGAAGAACTTCCACGGTACATCAAACTGCATTAACAGAACTGGTGTCTACTGAATGAGATTTAACATTTTGTAAAATTAAATGTAGGATGTTAGCAGTTTTCCAATATATTTTGTTTTTTAAATGATTTTTTTAAAAACAAGAAATTAAAAAAGTTGTCTCTGTAATAATTACCACTTTTATAAAATTATTTATAAAAAATGCTACTTACTCCCAAATCGCTTTCATTCTAGTTGTGTAAATTCATATCCAGTCTCAAATGTTATTAAAAGAACCAAATTATTTTACGATTCTGCCCTTTTCAGTTCTCTAGAATGCCTCCAGATGGCATTAAAACCCTTCCCCCATTATATTTTGCAGCATAAAAATTTTAAAGTTAGTGATATTTTAACCACTTAAGACTAATCAATGTATTATATCATCAGAAATCATAGCAATGAAACTGTTTAGAACTTTTAGTGTAGCATCTTAAGGAAGACCACATATAATCACATCCTTTATGAAATATATAGCAATCCTATGCTTAAGGGAAGCTGAAGGATTTTTCTAGACTAGAAACAGATCTTAGACAAACTGAGACACTCAATAAATTATATCACAAACTGTGATTTCTACTGAGAAGCATTTTAAACGCTTAGTAGTAAGAGTGCTGGCCCACATAAAGACAAATTCACAAACCATACAGGAATAAGGAAGCTGAGTTACCCCTCAGAGTTCTAATAAAGATTTTCAAAGGGCAAATGTGATTCCTATTGTAAAATCATTTGTTAGCTCCTGAATTATTTCATTTAAACTTCGGTATATAAATTTGGTATCAAATTAATCATTAAAACTTTTGGGTTCCTTGAGCACCGAGAGGAAAAAGCAACATGCAAAGTAAGGAACAGGCGCTTTCTAAGGGCCTTTTCTTATCTTTGAAAAAATGCTTTTGTTCATTCAAAAACATCAGCAAACTCATGAGATTCCAGAGGCATCTGGCCTTATATTTTTCACAAAGTTCCGAGGGGAGGGTGCAGGCAGCAGGCGTTTTGAATGATATCAGTCCCTCACGGGTGTGCGGGACAATGCCTTGGCTCGAAGGTGAGCCAAGTTTTACGTTATTTACCACAGTGACGATGGAAGTCTCAAACACATTCTAAAAGGCTGCCAGCTCCCTGCACCAGTATGTGCCCTCCCATCTCCTTACACTTGGACTTTCCAAAGAGGAGCACTTGTGTTTTCGATATTATTCTTTCTGTATTAAGCACGAGAAAGACCTCCAAATGCGTGTGCACTCGGAGCATTTAAAAAGACATCATCAGGAGAAGGAGAACTGGCCCTCCTCCCATTATTATTGTTACGGCTACGTGACACTTGAACTGTTTTGTATTAAAGAACCGCCATCACGAACAGAAAGAGGAAAGACTTACGATGTATTCGAGGTGCCATTGTCTGGACTCTCGGGCTCAGCATCACCTTTCTCTTAAAAAGGAAGCAGAAAAAAACCAACATGTGAGTATCACAGTCTTCAACATTAAGAGAGATTACATACATTTGAATGTTCCTATTTCCTATAACCATTTTCAAAAATGTGCAGCAGGAGGCTTTTCAAACACCTTTTTTATGTCTGAGAACCAGATTTGCAGAGAATTTCTTCTCTGTAATACCACTGCCCGGGCGCGGATCTGTGAGCAGGCACTAAAGAGCTGTTTGTAAACAACCAGAGGCTCAGAGTGGAAACCTCGCCAGGAGATGAGTATCTTACAGCCGGAACCTGTTTCCTTCCACTCCACTTTACAGAACATTTAAGGAAATAAACCCCATTAGCATTCTACATGAAGGCATGCTGAACTTCGATCCCTTTGGCTAACATGAGCCGAACCAGGTCTGGCTGTGCCAGAACTCGGAGGAGAGAATTTCACTGAGGTTGTATCCTAGGTTACCAGGTCCCCAAGAATTAACCAACACCAAAAGCCCTGGCCTAGGTTTTGCCCCCACCCTCCCCAGTTAATGCAGGATAAAATGTAAACCAGAAATCCCTCCTATCTGACAGGTTAGGTAAAAAAAAAAAAAGTTTCACTGTGGTCATCAAGGATTTAATTAAGAGAGCCTGGAACCAGTTCACTTTTTGTAGTTTTAAAGGGCAAATTCCTCTTGCAAAGATACTGTAACTCTTAGATCCTTGAATACTGGGGGTTTGAATTACATGCCCTCATGCTGTAAGGTGCTCCCTTTGGGGATGCAGGAAGCAAGGGTCGTGATTACCAATGTGGGTCGGCTGTATTACGATGGTTGTGCTGCCCTAATCTACACTAATAAAAGAATAACATGCTAATTGACCATACCTTCCTGATGGCCACCAGCCAATCAGGAGTGAGTATGAAAATTTACCCAACAAAGATCTTGGGTTAATTTGCATATGCAGGTGCTGAGCAGCTGGGGGCGGGGCAGGATGCTTGCATCATTGCCATGGTGACGATGCAGGTGTTCTGCACCATCTGGGCCTCTGGGCAGTGTGGGAAGGCAGAAAGGCGGCTCTGGCCAGAGCGAGGGCAGTGCCAGCAGCCAGGGGAAGGAAGGCTCATGCTTGCACAAATCTTCGTGCAATGGGCCTCTAATAGTTTAATATTAATAAACCCCAGGCAAGGCTGTGGGTCCTAGGAAATGGGCCTGATGGTGGCAGCTGCTTTGCTTTGTTATCTGAGTCTGCAGAACCCCTGGTGTGCTCTTTGAGGGCCCAGGCCTACTTATGTGCAGGCCCCTTTTGTCAGGACGGTCTCCCTAAACTGCATGATGATGACATTCGGAAGATATTGTCCAAACTGAATCCCAAAGCAAACTTGATATCATTTCTTCTTTCTCTTTTTAGGAATCAAAGCTGTGAGAGAAAGACCAGCAGATGTGGTTCACATGTCTATCTTAGATATAACAGAGGTAACTGGGCACAGGAACAGCTACGAGGGACAGCCATTCATCAGAAAGCCAATCATCGACTTCACCGCCTGGGTAACAAACACTGATTAACGGGCCTCCCTGTTAGGAAACCACGCTTAAGTGCAAGTAGAGGCAGCGAATCAATGAAGTGCCTCTGGAGCTCGTACTGTCAAGTCCATCCTCCAGGCCAAGCCTGTAGCGCACTCAGACACGCGAGGCCTCATCAACTGGTTTGAGAACTGGAAAACAGCCTTCAGTCCTTTCCAGAGTCATTCTTCCACGCAGTGGCGATAATTCCTGCCAGAACCCTAAATAGTTATACCTGCGCTAGTGAGACAAAGCTATGTGGAGGTTTCAGTCACCATACTGATGCCCCGCTCTTTAACTGGAGGAATTTGTTGCTTTCCCCAGCCTGGCACTGCCCTTAGCCACACCGAATACAATCATAACAGAGTGAAACAGCCAGGCAGCAGCCAGAAATAGCAAACATTTCCAAACAACTTATGTCAAGAAAACAGGAAACAAAGACTCTCAATGGAGACACTGTTTGGATGTCTGAGTAAATGTTTTTCCTTGGCCGACAATTCTGCCAAAGAACCTGCAAATGGAGAGGACGCAGGCCTCTGCCCGTGGGGCCTGGGCTGGGAGTCGGGCTGGCCCAGCGCTGGGGTGACAGGGACAAGAGAGCGGGTTCTGGCCGGCAGCGAGGACCCCAGGGGCCAAGGAGAGATTTAGGAGCAGCCTGGGAGGGAGTGCTCGCAGCACCTTCAGTGCCAACGAGGAATGGGCTTCCGGGGAAGAGGAGGTGCGGGAGGGAGAAAGGGATCCAAATTATTTTGGTCCTCCAGAAAGAACGAAACAGATTCTCCCAACAACTTGCAATTGTAGGTGATGCAATTATCAGAAGTTTCCTTGAAATGTTTAAGTGCCTACGTCATTAAGGGCCATCCTTTCTTCCTCATGACCCAGGGGAGAATGACGCATGACAGATAGATGTTTCCGTGCAGCGACCGAAGAGGATGGGGCCATCCTGGCTATGTCACCTTTTCATGATGGATACCCCGCAGGCTCCTCTGGGAGGGACCTGCACGGGTCATTAAGGAGATGGACAGGAGAGGTTGGCCCAGGCGCAGGGTGGTCATTTAGCACATGGAAATACAATTACAGAGAGGAAGAGGGGGAAAGTGAGCCACTGCAAGGGCACACACACACACACACACACACACACACACACACACAGACACATGTACACACAAATAAGTCATATGTAGGAACATATGTACAGTATATGTGTTCTTTCACCCTGACGCCTCGCACAGTCCCTGACACACTGCACACTCAGCGTCTGTCTTCTGTCTGAGCACAGACCCCCACACTACAGGGAAGAAAGGGTAGGTACATCCACCATGGAGTTGGACGTACAATTTCAATACTAAACAATGTGATGACTCCAATAGGTCACAAAAGAAAAAATACCGAATTTGTGCCGTTCAGACGCTTAGGGTGACTGCATGGCTGGAGTCTCCATCACCCTGCCAGGAGAGGGACTAAGGATGTCTGAACAGGGAGAAATACAGGTTGTGCCAGGCTGGATTCTGCTGCATAGGTGAGGTTTGATGTACTACATCTCTTCTTTATAATAAAAGGAACCCATGCACATGGCAAAACAACTGACCAGCAGAGAAAACGTGACTCCGTTGCTTGCTTCTGGTTTTCGTTCTGTGAGCCCTTCACCCGTTCAAGACATTTAATCATCCATTTCTTGATTAATCAACTTCTGACAGTATCTTTCCTCTTAAACTAGGCACAATGAGGAAATTCCCCCACCCATTCCTCCCACCTGACCTCCCTTCACCACTTACACAGCTAAACCTTCCATCTACAAGCCAAGACTTAAAATATTTATATTCTGTTCAGTGATTATTAATGAGGCATCCTTCTGCATCTTAACTTAATTAATAACTTAATTTTTAGAATGTCCTATAGGCCAATTAGAAAAATTATAAACCAATAACAGAAGTTTAAATCCTGCAACAATATAAACATTAGTCAGTGAAGAAGGGGGACTGGGCCTGTGGGGAAGGGGAGGCCACTGAGCCTGAGTGAAGGCTGCGCTCCAGCATTGAGGTCCCGGGAAGTCTCATTAACTCCATCAGGCCACAGCTTAATCCGTAAGCGGAGACATGATACAGATTAAGCTGTGGGCCCCGGGCTTTCACACGCCCAGCCTTACCAGGGAATGCTGAACTGGTTCCAAGTTAACTTACGGTCAAACATTAAAGAATATTTCTTTTCATTTAATAATATAATGTGAAATTTCAGTGTAGTGTCTGCATTTCTCTGAGGACCAATGTGGAAGAGATATTTTGTGCTTGCTCTTCTGTGACATTCTTTCTCATTTCTCAAAAAAAAAAAAATAAATAAAAATAAAAAAAATTTAGTAACTTTTTTAGCTCATAGAAGCACTTCATTGTCTTGATCCAAGTCTTCTGTCACTGTCTCTCTGTCTCTCTCTCTCTCACATACTCTCTAGTAACTTTTCCCAGTGTGAGTCTTTTACTCTTTTTCTGGTATCTGTGCATAAGTTCTCAATTTTAATTTACTCAAATATATCAATATTTTCCTATATTTAATAATTTGTTGTGTTTTTATTTAAGAAGTACATCAAAATATGTTCTATATTGTCTTTGGAAAGTGTATAACTAACTAGTTCACATTTAGATCTTCTACAAATACCAGGAGGAGTTTTTTTTTTTTTTTTATATGACATAAGGTAATTTCATTTTTCTTGTAACCAATTAAAAAGCTCATTCTTTCTCCATTGATTACATTATAAGCTCTGTCATGAATCTAATTTTTGTATATATGCGGGCCTGTTTCTATGACCCATATTCTCTTTCATTGTCAATTTGTTTACTACTGTCTGTGATACTTAGCTTAAAACATTTATATATTTTTAATACGGCAAGGAAAGGCTCCAACTCCAACCTTGTTGTTCTCTGGGAGTGTCTGAGCTATTTTTGGGCCTTTGTTCTATCAGAGAAATTTGAGAATCACTTTGTCAATTTCCAGATACACAAAAGAGAAGTTGTAATTGCACTGTCTCCTATCACTGTTGAGAAAGAAGTCACCTGAAGTTGAATTGTTGCTTCTCTGACGGAATTAAAGGGCAGTTTAAGAATTGTTTCCTTATCTATGTGGTTTGCAGATGAACTATAATGTGTCTAGTGTGGCCTTTATTTTTACTGCTTAATATGCATGAGGTTTTTAGAATTTGTGGGTTAGTGAATTCAATTCTAATTTTTTTTTCAGCCATTATCTTCCTTAATATATTTCCTCTGTTCCCTCATCTCCTTCTGAAATCCTACTTAAATACATGCCAGACTTTCTTACTTTATCTCGCACATTTCCTTTTTTCTAAATATATTGATATTTTCATTGATTTTAGAGAAAGAGGAAGAGAGACGGAGAGAGAGAGACATCAATCGATATACATCCCATCCAGGGATCGAACCCACAAACTGGGCATGTGCCCTTACCAGGAATCGAGCCGGTGACCTTGTAGTGTGGTACATGGGACAATACTCAACTACGGAGTCACACCAGCCAGGGAATATCCCACACATTTCTTAATTTCCATTTTCCTCTAGGCGGCACACTAGATAATTTCTTAAATTCAATTTCCCAATACATTAATGTTTTTAGCTGTATCTAATCTGCTGTTCAACCTGAATGAGAAAATTTTTATTTGTTATCATTTTTTCATTTCTAGAGGTCTGATTAGTACTTCTTAAAATCTTCTTATTCTTAACCACATTCTCAAACATCCCATTCTGGAAATTGAAGCAAGCACTCTTATTTTAGATTTGGGTTGGGTAATCCCAATATCTGAAGACGTTATGGGTCTAATTCTCTGCATCTGCTGTCCTCCTAACTCTTGTTCATGATCTTCTGCTCCACGGTATATAGTACTTGTGATATGGAGTAACTCATTTCCCTCGGAATTATAGTTCTATTATTACTTATTCTTCTCCACTTTTGTTTTCTTTTTCTGGTATTCCTATTAGCTGGATGTTGACCTTGCCACCCCAATTAATCTTCCATGTATCTGAACTTCCTTTCAAATTTTCCATCTGTCTTTTGTTTTATGTTCAAAAAAAGATGTTTTCAACCTTATATTACAAATCCTAGACTTCCATTATTACAAATCATTTCTATTAAATTTTGTGAACCATATTTTTAATTCTCAAGTGCTCATTTGTTCTGTAACTGCTTCTTTTTCATACCAATCTGTTCTCTCCTTTTATTTAATACAGTAATTTCAAATGTTTCTGAAGGCTGTAATTATACTTAACATTTTTTCTTCTGTTTCTTGAATTAAGTGGATTTCCTCTGGAGTCAGTCCTCTTTGGTACTTATTGGTGACACATTCATGCTTTGAACGATAGCAGGCTGGTTTACAAAGGTAACTGATGGGGGTTTCCTGTAGTCGTATATTGATCTGTTTTCCTCACACACATATCCCTGGCAGGAAATGCTGCTTTGAGCTCTTTGTAAATGGAAGGGTATGTTCACTGAAGACTTTATTCAGGGTTCGGAGAAGAGAGACCTCAAGACAAGCTGGCAGCCCTGATCCTCTCATCCTGCTCCACACCAAGAAAGAAGTACTGTACTCTGGATGTGTAGCATTTTTGTTTATTTTAATCTTGAAAAAAAGCTAACTCTTCTTCCACCACTCACATATGTCTTTTTTTAAAGCCTGGTATTACCTCAGAATCTATACGCTTCTCTTAGGTATCAGCTCCCAACTAGAGCTTCTGGTCAACTGTTCTTTTCTTAGCAAATGTTATCGTGTTATTTGATATTTTGTTTTGTTTTGTTTGTTTTGGGGGGTGGATCCAGATGGAAATCTATGTATGAGAACCAGCTAGGATGGTGTGGATGGGCTGTGGGTGGAAGAACGGCCCCGGTCCCTACCGCTCTCTGAGCGCCAGGCCTGTTCCCTGTGAGATTGAGCAGAAACCTGGGGTCTGTCATGGAGTCCCAAGGACACTCCCAGCACCGCTAGACCTGGTTTCTGTTTGTTTCATTAAGACCTTCCTTGCCCAGGGTTACTTCATAGGAGGGTCCTGTCACTCTCTGTTTTCCAGGAACTCAACTGAATATCTGTTGATGCACCCCTTTCTGTCCTCAGCGCTGTTACAGATTTATATTCATTGTGACGAAGTTCTGGTAATTTAAACAGAGATTCTGGAGTCATGCTCAGACTGCCACTTGAACAGGGCCACTCCAGACTTTAGTAAAATGTAGACATAGGTCAACTCTTCTTTAATATTTAAGTTTCTCAATGCTTAATAAGCTTCTATTTTCTAAAATTAAATTAAATTAACCAGTAATTTAGCAAACTGACTAAAGTATCCTTTAAAAGATCTGGATTAAAAATATTTTTCTGTTCAATTAACATACTCTTCTCTCTTGGCATCTATATCATACAAACCTCGCAACTTCAAAGAAGAAAAGCAGCACTGAGCTGAAGTGGTGACGGTTAGCTCATCAATCCACACACACATTTCGTGTTTGCTTTCCCCAAAGCTCAGTGCTTTTTATTTTCTACATACTTACTAAAGTCACAATTCCAAAAACTGTAAGGATTCCAAACCAGATACAAGAAGCAGCAGAGACATGCTGGTGAGACCAGCTCTCCTAAAGCTTCCATGTGCTATAATCCAGGTGAATACTCGGATTTTTAAACAGTGATATTATCTGTAGATAGATGTGCTTGACTTTAGGAGAGGATTTATTTTAAAAATACAAAATAATAAGCTCCCTACTCCAAGAAAAGGAAAAGCCAGTCAGAGATTCCCCTGGGCGCTGGAGGGCCAGCGGGTTTCATACCACACGCGGCAGGTGCCACCTCACATTCCAGACGAGGGTCTGCTTTTTCATAAGCCAAACGCAGCATTAGCAGGTCACTGTCAGGGCATGCTGTAACCACACGCCAAATGCACACAAAACCACAGTATATATACAGCTATCACAGGAACCCAGCCTCACACTGAGCCATCAGAAGCAACCTTTTTGGGGTCAAGGTAAGAGGTGGGAAATTCAGTTGTCTTTGGGGCAGACATCCCTGCATTCAAACCCTCTTTGCCATTTCTTTTCCAGCCACTATAAACAAGGCTGGTTATTAACCTCAGAATCTCATTTCATCATGTGCAAAATGGGGACCACCATCCAGGTACTGTCAGGATTCAGTGAGGTAGCGGGTGTCCAGGGGCGGGCATGTGGAAGAGACTCAGTACTTCTTCCTTTGTTCTTTATGTCAAAAGCTCCAAGCTGAGAGAAGGTTCTTTTATTCACCTCAGTATCCTCCCTCTGCCCTGAACTGTTTAAATTCAAATGGAGGGACACGCTGAGGAAAGTAATAGCACTTTTTCTGTAGATTCTAGTTCAGTGGTTCTCAACCTTTTTAATGCTGCGACCCAGATATTTACATTGTGACTCATAACAGTAGCAAAATTACAGTTATGAAGTAGCAATGAAAGTAAAGTAATTTTATGGTTGGAGGTCACCACAACATGAGGAACTGTATTAAAGGGCCTCGGCATTAGGAAGGTTGAGAATCACTGCTCTAGTCTTTGGCACATGATGCTGACGCCTACATACCTCATGGACTTAACCAGGCATTTCTCCTGATTCCTTTTCTTACTACCGAATTGAGGATGTTCTTTAGGTTTCAAGTCACTTGGCATCTCTCCCCTTTGCTGGCTCGTGCTCACAGCAAATTCCAGGTGAGGGTGAGATGATGAAGTGGGATTGCCTGTGCATCATTATGCCACCATTGCCCTGCCCTGACCTTTCTCCAGCTGTGCAGGAGAAGGCGGGGCCTCCGAACACATCTGTTCTCTTGTCTTTTCTCCCAGCCCTTCTGCCCTCACAGATGCTCAGTGAGTGAGCCTCAGTTCAAAGACATGTCTGCTTGCTCAGAGTGATTTTCATGTTCAAACACGGCTTCATAATTGGCAGGGGGGACTCTCGGCTGACTAGCTGGTCATAGATGGAAGGAAGCCCAGTCTTTGTGGATGTTGTCCATGACACGAATGAGATAGCGTTTGCATTTTTTCGTGCTCAAGAAAACACGAACAACAATTAGTAAGGCCAAAGAAGAGAATGAAAACACTACTTCATGGAATGATAACATCCTCTCTTTGACAACGAAGCCATGACATTGGCTTCAATAAGGAATTCCTTCCTAGACACTCCAGTCTGTCTCTGAGAGAGGGCATGGTTTCTCCATAGCTTCTAAGGCCATTAATCTTGAGGGCTTCTGATTGGTTCTCTTTGCCCGTTCTTTTTCTTTCAATTTAGATAACTAATTAGTGTTGTTTTTTTTTTAAAAAACATTTCCCCTCCACATATACCAGAAACCAGCTATCACAAAGAATAATGTTCTTTCGACCTGCAGTTGTTTTGACAACCACCATTTATGTCTTGGCCTCCTCCCCTTGAGAAAGATAGAGGGGCTCTCAAGGTCACGTGGACCGCACACATTTGGAATGCATGTGAGCAAATGGCCCTCTTCCCACCGTTTGATTTTGTTTATAGTGAAATCCTTTCACATATTTATTGCATACATCTCCCCTACTCACCCCTCAAAAGCCCCCCGCCACCACCACCACATACACACTCACACAGCCCAGAGAGAAGTCTTTCTTACTTGGATTGTTGTGTCCAGAGGAAATGAGCTGAGAGTCCTAGAAGAACAAGAAATACCAATTAACGTTCTCATTTTGACTTTTAAAATCAAAGTTGAATGTGAGATATATTCCTGGTCAATTTCTACCAGCTACTGTAATGAAAAACATTTGCATAAATGTGCTCGTTAAAAGTTCTGGCACTATAGTTCACAATCACTTCTCTTTTGTATTGTAGACTTTTTGTTTTGTTTATTGAGGTGAAATTCACAAAACACAAAATTAGCCACTTTCGAGTGAACAATTCAGCGGCATCTAATACATTCACAATGTTGTACAACCACCAACTCTTTTTAGTTACAAAATATTTCCATCATTTCAAAATAAAACGCCACAGCATTAAGCAGTGTCTCCCCTTCTCGCCCCCCTCCTCAGCCCCTGGCGCCCCAGTCAGGGTCCTGGCTCCATGAGTTTATCTGTTCCGGATATTTTGTAGCGGTGGGATCATGTATGGTGGGACCTTTTGCGCCTGGCTTCTTTCATGTCACCTGTTGTGGAGATTCATCCACGTGGTAGCTTGTACCAGTAATTCATTCCTTTTTGTGGCTGAATAATGTGCATTGTGTGTGTACACAGCCGTTTTTATTAAGAGGTCCATTCTGTTAATGCACATTTGGGCTGTTTCCACCTTCTGGCTATTGTGAGCAGCACTGCCATAAACACACATGCATGTATCCTTGTTTGAGTCCCTAAGAGCAGAGCTGTAGGCTCATGTGGCGACTCCATGTTGAGCTTTTTGAGGAAGCGCCAAACTGTTTTGCACAGGGGCTGAGTCATTTTGCATTCCTACTAGCAATGGCTGAGGGTTCCAATTTCTCCACATCCTCTCAAACACTTGTTAATTTCTGTTTTTAATTTTTATAAAATTTATGACGGCCATTGTAGGGGATGTGCAATGGTTTCTCATGTGGTTCTGATTTGTATTTCCCTGATGACTAATGATATTGAGCTTCTTTTCTCTTTTCAACTATGAATTAGTTTTTGAAAACAACAAAGCAGCTTTATTGAGGCATTAACAATAAAACACGAGCTGCACATATTTGAAGTACACAATTTAATAATAAACAGCAATAAAGGGCTGCTGCTATTATCATCTTCTTAACTCCAGGACCATTCCATTTTATTAAGTAGCACTTAGTATTTAACCTTATATATAAAATAATATCTACTCATTAAAGAAAATTTAGAGGAACAGGGAAGTATACAAAAGTCGTCTGTGACCCCGAATCGGGTCATTTCGGAGGGTAAGCTGCTGCTGTTGGTTGGCCAGTGTGATTCGAGTGTGTCACTGGCAGTCACATGCCCAGAGGTGACACCCACTTCTGGCTTCTTAGAAGAATGCTTCGGATGGGAATTTCTCCTTTTCCATCTTTCAATCCAGAATCCCCAAACCTAAAGTGCTGTCCGGCACGTGGGGATCCGAAAGCTCCTCTAAATGAGCTCTGTTTAGCTGAGAAGCCAGTTGGTACAAATCCTTTTGCTGAGGATGGAAATCACCAAGCTCCCCGGTGTCGGAGGAAGCCCTTCCACGGAGCGCCATAGCGACCACCGTGTCCCACCGAGTGTACGGTGCCATCAGAGTGCAGGAGGCTGCCGATCTCAGGGACCGCTGGCAAACAAAACTGCTGCCAATGAACTAAGATGCCACCAGCCGTAAAACACATCCCGATTTGCAGAGAACGCACAAGGTGAAAAACCACGCACCTTACATCAGTAAGTCCAGGCACCCTAGAGGAAAAAGAACCATCTGATTTGGCTTCATCGCCTTCCACCCCCACCAATTACTTTCTTCTGAATCATACTCTATAAAGCGCCAAGTAGTTAAAGTGATGTAATTTACAATGGGTTTCAATGTTTGGTTTGAGGTAATGCTAAGCATGGAGTTTTAGTTCAAACATCCTGTGGTAGTTTTTGAGGCTTCCTAGCAACCCCGGGAGAGAGGGAGCTTGCTGCTTTCCTCACCCCCGGCTTTCATTCTCCTTCTGGGCACCCAGAGGGGGCAGGCGCGCGGGCATTTCTGTAAGGATGCCGAGTTCCCCTGCGCATGCGTCACAGCCCTGTCAGCCGGACACGCTCAGGCCAGGCCGATCCCCGGACTCAGCCCATCGCCCTGGGACGCGGTGTGACATGCCATTACGTTTGCCCGGATGCCTTCTGAGGATGGGAAAACTCTACAATTTCCAGTTCTTTATTTGCATGTCACAACTTTGGAGGCTGCTACAGAAATGAAGGCCAAAGGGCACAGCAAATTCTGCCCCCACCTCTGTGGGAGTACCTGATAATGGCAGCCAGCTTGAAGAAGTCACGCATCCTTTTCTTTACCCAATTCAATTACTCTTGAGATTTGAAGAATGAGGCAGACATGTCTGCTAGCATTTGTCCAGTGAACAGTGACTCCCGATGAAGTGTGCAGAGAATAGGAGAAACACCCACATTCGGTAACAACTGTCCTCAATGGTTGTAATACCCTTCAATGCCCGGACAAATGGGGGAAATTCTCGGAAGTATTAGCTAATTAATTTAGTGGTGCGGCCAACTCAGAATGCAGTTAAATCAACTTTCCTGGGGAGGTCAAGTCGCCCCTTTAATCTTAATAAGGGATTAATTTAATTATTTGTTGCACATTTAGGAGATTTTGTCCCTTATATTTTATGAACAATTCTAGATCCTTCATGCTAGCAATACAGTGATAATCTTAAATGTTAATAATCTATCTGATTATGGAAATGCAAGTCTCCAGCTGACTACACTAATTAGTTGAGATACAGGTTGGAAGGAGTACAGTATGTGGCAGTACAATTAGTGACAGTCTTTGCAGTAGGCAGAACATGGGCCCCTCAACGATGTCTGTATCCGCATTCCCCAACCCTGTGAACACGTTACTTCTCATGGCCAAAAGGGCTTTACAGCAGGGATTAAATGATGACTGTGAGATGGGAGATTATTCTGGATTACCTAAGTAGGCCCAATCTGATATTCCCGGTTTTCTGACAGCCCCATGCTAGAGCATTCAGAGTTTATGACCATAATAAATTTTAGAATATTATTATCAATTCAAAACAAAAATCCTTTAGCCAACATTCAACCCTACCTCCCCACTTCTGGGTACCTCTGTCAGTTGCTCTCTGTGCCCATTGGCTCTGATCTGCCCCCACTGGCCCTGCGGTGCCTCCAAGACCCAAGTATGCTCCTGCCTCGGGGGTCCTTCCCTTCTCTTCCATCTCCGTGGAACTCTCTACGCCCCCCCCCCCCCCCCCCCGCCGTCCCCCTGCTGCGCCCCCTCTCCCCGCTGTCTGCACTACCTACTACCTGCTCCCTCAGCTGCTTCAGGGAGTTGCTCAAATGCCTCCTCAAAAAGGTCTTCCTTAAGCTCTTCACAGAAAAGTCATCCATTCCTAGCCACCATCAGCATCCACCTCTTTCTTGCTATGCACTCTATTGTCCCTACTAGGAAAATATAAGCTCACCAAAAATCCCCCAGAGCCAGAAGGAATTCAGTAAGTAGATATGTAAAGTCCAGTGAATTTCCTTCATACCAGTGAGGACTAATTAAAACATAAGAACTTTTAAAAAAGCTCATTGAAATACAAAAGTAAGCAAATATCACAGCCATTGACTGGAATCGAACCTGGGACCCTTCAGTCGCAGGCTAATACTCTATCCACTGAGCCGAACTGGTTAGGCTGGACATACTTTCTTAAATTTAGTTAGAAACTAAATAAAATTCCAATAAGATTTTTTTTAAGGAACAACAGATCATCAAGAGGATTCTTACACTGATCTGGAAGAGAAAAATGTACAATGGGCAGGACTCTTGGAAAATAAAAATGGATACTGGCCTGACCACATGTATGTATAAATAGGCCAAAAATCATTAATAACTTAAAGTAGGAGTCAGCCAATTATAGCCCATAGGCCAAGAAGTATAGCCCAGACTTTGATTTGCTTTATCTTAAACAAGTAATGCTTTTTAGCGCATTCAGAGTTTATGACCATAATAAATTTTAGAATATTATTATCAATTCAAAACAAAAATCATTTAGCCAACATTCAACTCCACCTCCCCACCTCTGAATTTCAAGAAACCACTAATCTAATACTCTGTCTTGCTATATTTGCCTATTCTGGACATTTCAAATATATGAAATCATACAATATAGTATGTGGTTGTTTGTGACTTTCACTTAACATTTTTAAGGTTCATCCACATTGTATTAGGTGACACCATTTCAATCCTTTTATGCTGAAAAGCATTCCATTGTAAGGATATGCTACTCCTGTCTACCTATTCCTCAGCTGGTGGACATTTGTGTTGTTTCCACTTATTGGCTACTAGTGGCCCTGCGCACGATCTGTGTGTGAATAGCTCACTGCCCCTGTCTCAGCTGGCCGCCCTGCCCACTGCCACTTTAGGTCTCCCCCACCCCCTCCCGCTCATAGCTCGCTGCTGCCCCACCCTCCTGGTGACTGGTTGTTACCCATCACGGCATAATGACCATTCGCATATTACCTCTTTATTATATAGGATTATGAATAATGCTGCTACAATGTGCATGTGTAAGTTTTGTATAGATTTGTGTTTTTCATTCTTTGGGTGAATATCTAGGAGTGGAATTGCTGGTTCACAGGATAATGCAGTGCTGAAGAAACTGCCTAAATGTTTTCCAAAGAGGCTGCAACATTTTATGATCCCATGAGCAACTGAGAGCAGGTTTCCAATTTTTCTACACCCTTGCTAACCCTGGTCATGTCTGTCTTTGCTTTCAGTTATTTAAGTAGGTCTGACTCATTTTCTCACTGTGATTTTGATTAATAATAACGATAGTGTCCTTTCATATACTTACTAGCTATTCGTAGCTTTTGTTTGGAAAAATGTCTATGTATTGATAGATCCTTTGCCCATTCTTAAAATGAGCTATTCTTTTATTGTTGAATTATAAGAGTTCTTTATGTGTTAGTATAGGCCCGATGCACAAAATTTGTGCAAGAGCAGGCCTTCCTTTCCCCGGCTGCCAGCACCGGCTTCCCTCACAGACTCACCTTTGTCCGGAAGGTCGTCTGGAAGGATGTCCAGTCTAAATAGCATATTACACTTTTATTATTATAGATGCTGTCACCTGTTTCTATAAATAAAATTCTATTTGAACATAGCTACAGTCATTTATATATTATCTGTAAAGTCTAAACTATTTATATCTTGAGTCTTAACACAAAACATTTGTCAACATTTGATTTAAACATTAAGTTATTGGGAAAGAAGTAAATACACTGAAAATACAGAATAGATACTCCTGAAACAAATCTATGTATTTATGAGAAATTTAATTGCTGGTAAATATGGTATTTCAAATAGTAGGGGGAATATAGCTAATTTTATTAACACTTATAATAATTTACTAGCCATTTATAAGAACACAACTAGAATTCTATGTTATGCCATTCACAACATTTTTTAAAACCTAAAACCAAAACTATAAAAGACTTTGAATAAAATAGAGAACATGGTTAGAACATTGGTGCAGGAAAGATTTTTTAAAGTCTCTAACAAAAATTAAACATTTTGCTAGTATAAAAGGCACATGAATCAAGTTACAAGACAATAGTTGTATCATATATAATAGACACATGAATAAGCAATAAGAAGTTCTTAACAAGTCATTTTTTAAAATGCGATATGAATGAGTAATGACTATGAATGGAAAGTTGCAAAGGGAAAATAGTCCATTGTTAAACTCAGAAGAAATGCAAACGAAAATGAGACAGCAAATTTCCATCCAGAAACAAGGATAAAATGTCGATAATATTAGACGCTTTGATTTTAAGATTCATTATTAATTTAAACAGCTTTCAAGGAAAAAGTAAGCAATCACACTGCCTAACATTATTGTAAGAAGCAATTTCACAAATGTTTTAGATAAAATGACATATAATATGCATCACATTTTGCATTAAGTGTAAAATTGCAATCTTGATTTCCCCCTTTGATGAATAAATACATATGTTTGAAAAATGTTGAAAATCAGACCCATAAGCCTCTGGCAGGAATATTCTCAAAAGAAAAGACAATAAAGGGATATCCCCTCATCCCTGGAAAACTCTGTGTGAAGACAGCTGGCTGTTCTGGTGACACAAGATCTCACCTTATTGGGAAATGAGAATTTGCTCGGTTCCACCTTGCCAGGCGGCTGAATAGCAGAAAGCGGCGGGAGCCAGGTCATCTCCTAGAAGGAAGAAAACCGCACATCAATACAGAAAGCATTCCACGTCGGTGGCATCTGAAGCCACCATAAGGCCTGCCCCGGGAAAGCATGTAGGGTAAGAAATGAGCGGGAGATGAAAGAGAATGAGAGGGATTTAAACAAATGTGAAACCACTTCCATGATTTCTCCTCATAACTTTACCAAATTCTTGGTTCCATGGCTAGCCTCATGTCCCCTGCATACTTTAAGTAGATCTACAAGGCTGTCCTATTTTCACTTCAGTTAAGCTCCCAAGTAAAGGGACAACATGGTGGTAAAAGTTCCATGGAAAATGCCATGCACAGCGGGCTGTTTCTCTGAGACTTGATCCCAAAACTCACAAGGTGTCTGAAGGACTGCATAAGCACTTTCAGCTTTAGGAATCAGTACTGCAGGAGTTGTTTATTTTATTAAAACCTATATTAGTATGAGTTTCCAATAGCCCCCCCCCCCCACATCACTTCCCTCTTCATAAAAATGTCATTCGTGAAGAAGTGAAGACACAAATCACACACATGACACACAGAGAGAGCATGTTGTGATGCTTATAACAGTATTAAGAAGACAGCTTTAGCTCAACATGCAGTGGGCTGCCGCCTGCTTTCTGACGTGCGTTTTCAGGAAGCTGAGAGGGCAGGGTCCCCCCCCCCCCCCCCCCCCCCCCCCGGTCACTCCCAGCATTCCTGGGCAGCTCATCTCCGGAAGATGTCTGCCTTCACTAAGTGACTGTGGGTTAAACTGAACCCATTTCTGATGACCAGGAAACGGAGTTAAGAGTTTACAGAGGCTCTGAACTTGATTTACATCCACTTCCAAACCCAAGCAAGCACAGGAGCAGCCGGCCCAGTTTAAGAGACACGAGGAACTCTCTTTAGGATGAGACACGTTCTCAGTTCCCTCGGTTGGGGTGGTGCTGTCAGGTGTATGGAGTGAGAGTTTCTCGGGGATGGTCTGTGGCCTCTTTCCCTAGGTAAGTCTCCGGCCCAGCACGTCAAGTGGTGCAGACCCACACAGGGAGAGAGAGGGGGCGTGCATTCACGCCCCCCTGGAAGGATCACTGACCCTCTTCATCTCCCGCCCATGTGACACAGGCACCACAGGTGGGTTAAGCTCCCATGACCCGAGTGTCCCTTCTCCATTCTGCTGGTTCCAAGGGTTGGCCAATGGGAAGCACGGGAAGACTCGGAGACCCCTTCTTGCCTCTCAGCTCACTCCCCAGGTATCTGCACACCCTACTCTGCGTCACCATCCCCGCTGCCTCTTGTGAAGACTGTGTCCAGGAACACAGGGGTCCTCAGTCCATCTTTCAATGAACAGAAAATTAAACAGCGTCTCTGCAATCTACCTCCCTTTCTTTCTGGCTACCTGCACTACCATCCTAATCACACCTTTGTTATTTTTAACCTGAATTACTTTAGGAGCTTCCTGATTGGTTCTCCTTCTTCCCTTATGATGAAGCCATCCTCCACGCTTCTGTCAACCTATTTCTCTAAAGGGGCAGAGCGAAACGGAAAGCACCCCTTCTACAGTTCATTCATCTACCATCACGTGTACAACAACGGTGGCAACTATGATACGATGGCATCGGCACCTCCTGTTGTGCTTACAGTTTCAGAACACGTCCACACAAGCCTTCCCGTTTACACCAGCCTTTAAAGTAACCACTATTCTATCCATACTGGAGGCGAGGAAGTGAAGGTGCAAAATGATGCAGTGATTTGCCCAAGTTCACCCAGTTCACAAACGCCACCGCTGAAGTGTTCATGCACATCTCCTTCCTCCGTCAGTGCTTGCTTCTCATGCTCTGCATCCGTCCAAGGACAATGGTATTCAATACCTTCTGCGATCAGGTCCCCTGCGCCTTTTATCCTTTTATTAGCCTTTTATTAACACACACACACACACACACACACACACACACAGGATAAGAAAATGACAGTCTCTGCTTTGACTCACACTGCCCCCTGTGTGTGTGACTGTCCTGCCCCAAATGCCTTCTGGATTTCTATCCACCCATTAGGGCTCCTCTGAAACATCACTTATGTCATGGGCCTCTGCTGATATGACAGTGATATGACAGTCCCCTCCTCATGCTCCTCCAAAGCACTATTTCTCTCTCTCATTGTAACTCTTAGGTTCCTTTATAAACATACATTTCTATCTGCGCTCAGCCATTTTGCTTTCTCCCCCAATGCAGAATAAAAACAATTCTCAGGAATCCTAATAATCTCTCTCAAGAGTATTCAGTCTTACTAAACATAACCAAGAAGGAATCCTAATAATTTCTTTCAAGAATATTCATGTTTATTAAACACAACCTTTAAAGATGAACTGAACATTCCTTCAGAGGGACAGTGTCTACTCGTCTATGTAGGTGAAAAACCTTACAGACTAAGTGTTCAAAACTAACTTGTCAACTTGAACTAAATGCCCATATTTCAATACACAACTGCTCACAAACATTGCTTTAATTCTAACTATTTCCATGTCATTTCCAACCTAATCAGAGCAAGAGAAGGAAACAGCATATCATATATGAAGGAATAAAAAAGATAATAGGGTTGCTTAAAACACTTAAATCTATTAGAATTTCCAAGAATACAGAATTATTTATGTGAACTAATTAAATATTTGTTTTTAATGAATGTGCAATGACCTTTTAAGACTGATTATCCACTATATTAAAATTCTCCATTAGGGCTGCATGGAAAAAAATTAATTAGACTATTTCTACCAGCATTTCCTCTTCTGTCACTTACTAGCTCACTGAGCTTGAGTAAGCCCCATGGTCAGTAACTTGTAGTGATTTCAAAGCATAGACTTTTGAATCAATCCGATCTCAATTTGTGGTATCTTAGAACCAGAGCAAATAGAGTTGCTAACACTTATGGGTTAATCATGGGCATTAAATCAGATAATACATATAAATGGCATAGCATGGTTCTCTTATGTTTAATCATTCAATAAAAGACAGCACTGATTAATATCAAGCTTAGTTTCAGAATTCTTATCTCTAAAATAAGAAATCAAATTCTCTCTGAGCTTTATATGTTGAGAGTCTGGGGATAGAAGACTATATGGAAAAGTGTTTTTACAGAAGAATGAGGGTATTATGCCAATGCAGTCTATAATTGAGCTAGTGATTATTATTCAAACTACATATTGCTAAAACATGAAGTTATTTGAAGAGTTTATTATGATTTTTAAGTATGATATGTATTTTCCATTGGAGAAAATGTCCTAAGTTTTCTCAAGGGAATGGAATTCTGACATAATAATCGCAATCAGTGAGATAAGATTTGATGAGAAGGTGTTTAATTTATACCATTTTCTGGTAGTGACTTAATATGTAAACCAAGGGAAAATTCATAACTGCCAAAACTTCACTTAGTTTGCCTCACTACACAGGGTAAGAATGCTATTTTATTGCAAGACCACCAATCCCATGCGCCGTTCCCCTCCCCGCCCCTACTCTGGACCTCCCAGCCTCACCCCTCCCTTCATTATTGTTCACTCCTATTTCCTCCACTTGGGTGCCCGTTCCTCTCATCCTGGACCACAGGTAAAGCAGGACGAGAAGTAGCGTGTTTAAAGCCAAGTATTCCAAAGTCCTGATCTCGCAAACCCCTCTATTACTCCTTTGACCTGCCTGCCTGTCTTCCTTCCTCTTTGTTTTCTGGTCACGTAGGACTGAGGCCACCCCGTTCCCCAGCACGGAGAGAGAGGTCCTCAGTTTGGAGCCGATTGATGAGATTCAGAACCAACATATCTGTGTTCGCACAGCCTCCCAGTCCCAGCCTCAGCAGATGTCTTGTTACCCAAGGGACATATTTCAGGGCGTCTTCCTATTTCTCAGACAGACGTAAAATGCCAAGTCTCTTTATAGCCAACACATTCCTTTTTCTCCTAAATGTAAGGACAAATGGCTACATGATAAGAGTGGAGAATACTGCATTTCATTAACTGTCCAGCTTCCTCCACCCCCCAATTTTCAGAACACCACGGGGCACGTACCAGGTCCCATCCTCATGGCTATCGCATGGCAAGACAAACCATGAGTCCCCAACAGCCATGGTTTCAAGGCGAGTTGATGCTTCTTTTGCACAAGCCCCCTCCCTCCCTCAGCTCCCACTCACGGTGATGCCTCCTGCACCAGCCTCTTAGGACAAGCGGGTGAAATGTGGGACACCCATGCACTCAGCAATGCAGCTCTTCATTATTTAAAAAGAGGAGAAACAAAAATTGAATTTTAGCCTGAAATATAATATGAGAGTTCAAAATGTACAGTTATGAAGATTTGCAAAGTACATTTACTTGCAGATAGGTTAAAGAAGGAAAAAGTGAAAATATTTTAATTTTTCTACTAAAAATAGTAAGTGGAAAACACTTTCCCTGGTCTCTTTTCATATCGATGTTTACCCATGGCCACGAGATCTCAGCCATGGTCACCAAACCCAGCCAAGACTACGGAGGTGTTTTCTCAAAAACCGTTACTATGATGCACTTGCTCAGAAGCTCCCGGTGACCCTGCTCCAGCATCGAGGGTGCTCTGTTACAGGCGCCGTCAAGGAACACATTGTCACTGCCCGTTCCCCTCTGGGCGCAGTGTCACTGCCTGCCCTGATTCCCGGGGTCCCCATCCGGAACGTGGAGTCAGTAACCTTCTCTGGCAGAGTGGGTGGTAACCATGCAGGCGCCCAGCGTATGTCTGGCACAAAGCGGGCGCCCACGGAACGCAGCCACTGCTGCTGGGCTACCTTTGTCATAGGCATTGGCAGCGTCTGGCATGGGCCTTGGGGGGGAGGGGACACACGAATACGGGAGAAGACATTTATGAATTTGTTTTTAATCCACTTCACTCAGTTAATTATTTAATATTCAACTGGTTAATTATCCATAGTCGAATAGAAGGCCAGCGTGCTTATTAGGCAGGAACCTGCTTCCCTAGCTCCCTCTGCCTCTGCCGCTCCGGGGCAGGGGGC